GATACAGGATTAGATAGCTTCTCCAAAGTCTCCCTGTTGCCCCGACCAAGTTGCAAAAACCAAACCAACAAGTTTTCATTCAAAAGGTAGGAGTTAAGATTTTATTGTTATAGTAGGCATTATTTGTCTTCTCAAAATGAATGGCTGGCAAATCTAAGAGGAGTAGCCATTGAAAATTGGTACTGGATTTCGTATCCTGATTGAATTCCAGGTTTCCCATTAAAGGTCAACAAGTCCCATTGTTGAAGAGATTGAGTTCAATATTACTGCCGTGACTGTCATAAGAATGACTTTAATATGGAATATAAAGTCTTATTAAGGTTTGTAAATCAACTAAAGTTAGCAAATGAAATTACAAAGAATGCTGGCTGTCTATGGATTGAGGACAAAAGAATATGATGATAAGCTCCAAGCTTACTTTTTTTTACGAAATGAAAAGCCCAACGGCATTAAAAACAATGTCTTTTGTCGTTGAACAATCGTACATGTGACTTATAAAAAGTATTTAGATAGATTAACGAACAAACGAGGAGGATTTTTGTGAACAAACAAAAGCTAGCCGTGCTACCTGTAAATATAAATTATCTGTTGGTTGTTTATTTGTGTGCGGCAGGACAGGCATAGTCTCGTAATAATACATATGTTTCCTAGCAATAGCAACGAGAGAAATATTAAGAAATGTTTTATATACACAGATAAGGATATATCAAAGGGTGTAAGGAAGGCAAATACGATATACACAAAGAGAATTGGACAGACTTAGCAAATATGTGAAAGATTTGAAAAAAAGGATGATAGCTTGATAAATAACATGGCTATATATATATTCATTTTGAGAAGACAAATATTGCCTAGCATGTCAATAAAAATCTTAAATTCTACCTCGTAAATGAAAACTTGTTGTTGGATTAGTTTGGTTTTCGCAACTTATATATTTAGGTCATCACTACTATCATTATTATTTCGTGAATCCCCTATCTATCTATCCACCTTTCTTCTTTTGTTATCTCATATCTTTGTCTAACTGCTTGATAATTATATAAATATAAATATATATATATACCCACGTTATTATGCAGTTAGACAAAGATATGATATAAAAAAGGAAGAAAGATGGATAGACAGATAGCTAGATAGAAGGGGGATTGACGAAATTATAATGATAATAGGGATGAAATAACTGCGAAATAGGTATGCAAATGAAAACATCGTTAAGCTAAATAGATAAATAAATATGAATGAAAAAAAGGATGCATATATATTCGAAATTATTCAAATAAACTGTGAAGAACGTGTCCAAAAGACGTTCTGATGGGTTTCAATCAGTCTAGACTTAACGTAAGCGAAGAATTATGACATTTAGAGGCGTAAACTTTTGATGCCTACATCGTTCTGATGTCACATTATTTAGGACAGACAGTTTTATCATTTGCTGATGTATTCTTTATCATTTGCTGATGTATTCTTTATCATTTGCTTTTTCCAATAACGATAACTTTTCCAGACAAGTAAAGCCCTACTATTGATACATCTTCTCTTGAAAGTAGCCAAGACAGTTGGCAAAGCCTAAGGACAGGGGAAGAAGTTATCATTTTCTGTCCGAATGTTTGACTTATTGTTCAACACAGTATTCAATTTGCATACATATGCATATATATGCCTAAAAATGTATACATCATGGGATTTCCTTTCTTCAGCATAACCATATGACTTGTGGATTTGCTGTGTTTGGGCTAGGCACGGCCAACCGGATCCATCTATTGCAAATGTGCCCAGCAGGCGAGGCAACTAAGCGAGTCAGAATTGTGATTAGAGGCCAAACGCAAAACACAATCACACTCACTTTGTTCATCTACCCCCCTCCCTTCCCCCCACTTCAAGGAAGTAATGAGGCTTTCGTGACCTGCTAGCCAAACGGGCCGTCGGACGTGGTATGAAAGAGGGCCGGAGAGGCAGAAGAGTCGAATAGTGTCAAAGGACGGAGGATGAGGCCAAGTAGACTGGGGCTCGAATCGACAACTCCAACCAGCCAAGCTGTGGGCCAAATCCCTTTTGATTAGAACCTCCCTTTGGATGGTCGCTTTGTCTGTTTGTCATGTTGACAAACATGTGAACCGTCAGCCATACCAACGTGTAGGTTTGTCTGCTCCAGATGGCAACTCTGTTGCTGTCGATTGACTGAAGCCCAGATTGAAGCAGAGAAATGGGTCCATTCAAGCGTTCATTCGATGCTCTTACTTCCGCAGCGAGCAATGTCTGTCTCCGAATGTGTGACCCAATGACCGATACCGACAGAGCGCCAAATTGGCCATCTCCAGGCAGCGGCTCATTTCCCCCAACCCCGCCGGGTCTGGCCGATCTGTACAGTCGGAAGGAGACAATTTCACATGCTCTTGCTTCCCGAAAGCCATTCTGAGCCCAGTTGGGACTCGAGCCCAGGCAGAACAGTTAAGTTGACAACATTAATTTGGTACATTTTGAATGAGAGATTTGGACAGCTTAGCTCGCTTCAGATGGAGAAGGACTAGTGGCGAATCAGAGTGACTCAAGTTCTTATTCACAATCTACTTATTTGCTCAAACTCCTACTCAAAAACGAGTACATGCTGACTTCAGCGACAGTTCCACTATACGATTGTAATTTGGAAAGGCTTTAAATTCACTTCTGCTCTATGACCACATGACACACGTGACAATGTGGTGCGCCGGAAACATGGCGAAATTATGCTCTGTACCACCCGACTTCGAGTTCCGCTGGAAACCATAGTTCAGTGTGAGTGAGAACACCCTTTTAGAAGCAATTACATTCAATTGTGGAAAATTTCACCATCAGTCCTGCATCCTCCAAGATGTACTTTTTAGTCGCCAAATGCTACTCAAAAGCAAATATAACACCCCATTCCTCGCAAGCTGACCGATACAGAGACCAAAGTGACGATTCGAGTCGGTGCTGTAGGTCAAAACCTTTCCGCCTCGACCCCCGAGGCCAGTTTTCCTCGGTTGGTGATCGCCAAGAGCTATTCCACCGTAAAAGGAATCACATGAAAAAAAGACAGCACCTCGAGATGGAGGCATGCTTTGAGATTATAATTGTGAGTGCATGTATGTGTGCGTGTGTATGTGCGTAATCAGGTTTAGCCACCTCCATGGCAATGCATGAGTCCTGTTATTCCTACATGTCCATTTCCTTTGCTATGGTTGGATGAATGATGCAGGTGATCGTTTTTTCGCAAGATAGAGAGAGAGAGCAAGTAGGCCATACGAACACCCACACATACCCATATACACACATACACACAAATTACACATTTTGCAGGAGACTGACTCACATGTCGCCCAGACAATGGCCCCGGTATGGCCAAAGTGCCTCGGAGACGCATCAGTGGATCTTGTGTCCTCTTCAGACGGCATACCGTCTACTGGCACAAGTAGGCAGATTTGGTGACATTTGTTGCTAGGCCATCCGTCGAGGAATACCAATTTGCGTCGGTTTTTTGTTCTCAACTATTAGCCAGTCCAAACAGTGGGCAAGTGGAGTTCGAGGAGCTGCCTGACATTTTGCTGTTGTGGGGAATATTGCTTTGTGTGAATGTTGTGGAGATTTTTGTTTCGTGTGAAACCACCTGATGCCGGTTGAGTCGCGTTGTTATGCCGTCGTTTGGTGTGACTACGACTTTCCGTTTGACGCCGTCCGTGCGTCAGTTGTACTGGTTTCGGATAAGAATGGTTTGACCTTTTTTCCAGCATGTGCCAGACATTGTCAAGCCTTTTCATGTGAATTGATAATCCCCACAACAGCTCATTTACTCTTTGTATAGAAAGGTTTGTGTGACGTAGATATTTGTGGACCAATCCCCACAGTCTACACAGTTCACACTCTTGGGAGGCGAAATGAATGGGCATTGTGAGGCCTATTCCTTTTATTATGAGGAAATGCAATCATCCGTCTCTACCTTCCGGCTACAATGGCAACAAAAAGACAACTCATCAAAAGGAGAAACATTATAACTTAATTATCTCATCTGCATTTGATTCTACTCAATTATGCGTTTTGGAAGGGTCAGTTCAGGGTCATCAAGCTTCAATGGCCCGGAGACAGGCATTGAGTAGATTGCATAACCTTATACGTACGTCTAGTTGTGGTGCTGTTGACACAACACACTCTTTCTCCCGCGAAGTCTATCAATCAAGCAAAACTCGTTTATAATCAACTTCCTAAACATACTTTTTTCTTCAACTCATTTCCTAATCTGTTAGTTTTAATCGCCTCTCCGACATAATCGACAAATGGTTGTGCTCCAGATCGGTATTAATCAAGTCTAGTTTCTATCCTGTCGAACTGTAGACAATCTTTGAGCTGGACTTGTAAACTTAGCGGTTGGCGCTAAGATTGCTTATTTCTTTATGTGAAATACTCTTTGTCCGTAATTGAAGTTATGAAGCAAAAAATGCATTTGGGCGTTACTCGCGACGAAGAAAAGAGCCATTGACTAGCATAGTTACATGACATTCATGCGCTGGGGTCGCTTTTCAACGAGAATTCAAGCTCATCGTCATCATTGTCGCATCAGCAGTGCCAGTTGGATTAGAAACGTGGCTTAAACAATAGATCTAGTTTTGCGGTCAGTGGATGTGTGCCACAAAAATCAAGTTTTTTGTGTCATCCGTTGCACTTTCTCTC